TAGATAAACTAGCAAAAAATATTTAATAGTCAATAATAAGTGAAATAATATACATTGTTCATAAAGATCTAAAGATTTATAGTATTCTTAAAATATTTTCTTGAAATAACTCTTAGATAAATCTATTAAAATTCCTTAACTTTCAAAATGTCAAAAACACAAAACAAAATATGAACAGAAATTAAATAAGCTTATATGAATGGTGAAGAAAACTCAAGGTCATCTGGTGAACATTGGTAGAGGATATGTGCCTGATTCACTGTTTTTATAAGAAGATTCAAAAAAGTGAACATTGAATATATGCTTCAGAAAAGGTATTTGGAGTGAAAATATAGAAAATCATCCAGTAAAATAAAGTTATTAGCTTTGTTGTGCAGGTGGTGAAAAGTCACTAAAGGCTCTAAGCACACAGGATAGTGGAGTGATATTTTCTATTTCCATCTTGGAAATACTGTTCTAGTATTGATAGGAAGATGTATAGAGGAAGATATTAGTGTCAGTGGGTTCATGTAGGAATATTTCAGTAGTTCTCATGAGATTAACTGGGTTTATGTACTAAGAATGGGCTGAGAACTGTTGAAAATGACAACATTAATTGAATAAAAATCAACTGGAAGAAAATTAATTGAATAAAAATGACAAAATTTAATACTAACTTTTTAATGGAAAAGGAGATAAACTGAGAATACTGCCTGTTCCATGTTTGCTCAGAAATAGGTAACTAGAAATATACAAAATGACAGAGTACAATTCCCATCCTGAAGAATTTTTGCCTGATTTATAAAGATTCACAATTCAATATTTATTTCACAATTCCATCAGCCAGTTATTCCTCCTGCTTGATTGCAAAATAACATAGGATTTAAATAAGGTCTCTATGTCTAGTGTGCAGAGCAAGATGCAATTTCCTTCCTCTCATAGGAAGTAGAGAGAATGTCTGTGGAATGTTGGTTTATGTTAACCCTAGATGCATCTCTCTACCTTTTCAGACAATTCTTAATTCCTTTTTGTTCCTGTAATTGACAATCTCTACACTAAACATGGTGAAATAAATAATAAATATAAATATATGTGTATATACATATAGATATTGATATAAGCTCAGAGAAGAGAGTGGGCACAATCACATTTAGAGAAGCAAGTAGAAAGCAAGCTGAGATAATACAACAAACACAAAAATCAGTAACAAATAAGAAAGAGCCAAATCACATGAGGAATATCAAAAAGGGGATTATCTGTTTTTGTCAAAATGACACTAAAGGGTGTCTATGTGTATCTGTGTGTGTGTGTTTGTGTGTGAATGTAGAGAGAAAAAAAAATAAAGATTTCAAAGTGAAGAACTCTATAGTGTAGGTTTCCAAGGTTTTTGAAATACAAATTTAAAAACAAGAAATATCTTTTTAAGATTCGCCATTGGTCACATACATAAAAAGCCCTCCTTGACTCTAACTGATCTTCATCTTTCACATACCCCCACTATACAATCTATTAAGATTTATTTTGTGTCTGTCTTTTATCCTATAATTACTTCTATCACAAAAACTACAGGACAGTACTGACTTAATGCATCTGCATACATGCACTAAATCATAAGATACTTCTTAAACAGTGGGTCATGCTTTAATGATAACACATATTTTATGAACTTTGTATGATGTCAAATGCATATTAAGGTATCAATAAATGCTGAGTAAAGAAATGGATACATTTTTCAGGTGTCTATTTTTCATAGCCAGATTCTTTGTTAAGTCTTTCTGGATGGAAGATGTTAGGAAAAGAAGTGATTAATGTCAATGGGTCAGCAGACCTAGGAGAGAGAACTGAGCTGTAAGGTCTCAGACAAGCCAATTACAGCATCTATAAGACAAAATACAAGTTATAGCAAAACCCTTATTCACTTACTGTGAGGATATAATCAAGAATATAAAATGAAGAAAGAACCAATTCCCCTTAGTCCTCCCTCGACCTCACCCTACTCCACTTGCCATAGAGAGGTTCATTGATAAAAACTGAAGTAAGGCAGCATGACTGGAAGGAGAGTCACATCACTATTGCAGGTACTGTGAACAAAAGGTCCCTGTAGTTTTCTGAATCCAGACACCAGGGAGAGTAGAGAGAGAAACAGGGCTAGGTGTGGAAAGGTACTAAATGCTAAATCAAAATGAGAAAATTGTCTTGAATATTTTCTCCTTATTCTCCTTTACAAAAAGACCTTGGAAGAAGGCCAAAGGGTCAGACAAAGGCAGGAAGGAATAAATGTCATGATGTCAAAGAGCATGACCAGCCAGAGGGGCCTGAGTCCTTGATTGCAACTCCCTCCAGAGCCTTCAATGTGTTGGCCTATAGTAAGTCTGGTGTGGGGAGGGCAGCATCTCCCACAATGCCTGCCAAATAATTGCTTATGGTCAGGTCTGAAAAATCTTAAATGAGTCTCTAAACACAAGCCAACTCTGCAGTGACCCATGCTAAAGTGCCACCCAGCCCTGGTTCATTATCTGTCTGTAGAAAGCTTTGGGACTGGCTGAAAAATCATAATCCTTTCCTCTTTCAATCTGCAAAAATCCATTTAAAACAGATGCCTCTTAGGTCTAGTTCATTTTTCATAAGACCTGGTCTTCCATGACTACTCTGCAAATTGGTAAATATATAATACTAATGGTTATACATTTGGTAATTGATTTCCTAGTATCTGTTCAAAAGTTTTAAGATGAGACAGAAAAGTTGAACACCTGACCAGTAAAGTACCTGGTCTCATATTTGAGTGAGTATTCTCTGCCCATAACTGTTCTGATTCTTCCTGACTCCCAACACACAATTATAAGGAAACATGAAAATGAGACCACAATGTTAACAGAGTTGAGAAAGAGTGGTCCTCTGGAAAACCACTTTTATCCTTTTCATAAAATCTAGCCCAATAATTTAAATCCATACTCATTTTGGTTACATTGTAGTCTCACTATTCCTCTGTTTGGGATGGCAGATACATCCACTTTCAAAGGTTTCTAATGGTGTGCTACTTGAAGATGTTTCCACTGCAGTATTTCTCATTAGTAATTTTTTTATAGAAAGCTGGAATTACCTTGAATTGGGTGCTCCACTTAAGTAGTAAGTTGTGTTATTGTGGAATTAAGTATGCATGTATCTATCTATCAACTAAGTTGTTTCTATAAATAAAGTTTACCCCCAAAGTGTTAATCAATTACACTCATTAATTGCAAGACACTAACTTATACTTATGAGCAATAAGAAGGAGTTGTCCTATTCACATATTTGGTAAACAAAGGCTGAAGTCCAGATGCTTTACCTGCCTTCTACAATGACTTTAATGGTAGAACAAACCCAACAGGGATGAAAGCAATAAACTGTCTATCATATTAAATTTTATAAACCCCTTTCTAGACACAAGTGTATTCAATTTTAACAAGATAACATTCTTACTTACCATCAGGTAAATTTAAATATGTTAGTATTTTTTCACATCTTCAGGAAGCAAATGATATAATATTTTCTTAGCTTTGTTATTTTGTATCTAGTCAACTTTTGACCCACAGGACAACTAGCTTCAAAGCAAAATCTGTTCAAGATTCATATTTTTCACATGGTTTTTCCCTGAGGGAACTATTTTAGTGATAATGAAAACTTGGAGAAAGAGGGAGCCAAAACAGTAACTTAGACAAGCTTGTGATACACTAAGTCTTCTGGGGAAAACCTGTGCCCCCAGCAGGCAATTAGCAGAGAAACTGACTTCTTGGGATCATCAAGGATATTTCC